CTCCAGCCGAATCCAACGTACGCCGCCATCGCTCAAAGTGAACCGTCCGGCCAAGACACCTGGTTCTTGGACAGTTGCTGCGGGCAACACATGTGCTCGTCCGGGCGTTTCGTACAACGCGAACATCGACTCCAACGGGAAGTGATCATCACGGTTGCCAACAACCAAAACCTGCGCACACGAAGACAAGGAGTGGTACAGCTTCAGTCAAGAGAAACAAATGTCATACTGCACATGTCTAAGGTACTCATCGCTGAAGGACTCGGCTACAACTTACTGAGCGTTAGCCAGTTGATGGCGAAAGGAATTCATCTGGAAGCCGACAGCACGACCCAGGAGTTCGAACTTTACCACGGGAGAGGCGGTCTCTACATCGGGAAAGCAGTGCTGAAGAACAACGTCTTCGTCCTCGACTTCGTTCCTGACCTGGGCACTGCAGACAGCGACGCCATCGTGAATTTCACTGACTGGACACACCCTCCGGATCTCGACCCCGACTTCAGCCCAGGAGGCTTCTGGTACTCGCACACCATTCCTGAAGCAGAACGAACACGAGCATTAGCAACAATTCGACAATCGGCAGCAGTAACAACATCGGCAGCAGCAACAACATCGGCAGCAGCAACAACATCGGCAGCAGCAACAACATCAGCAGCAGCAGGAACAACGACACCAGTCACAGTCGACGAAGCACCACCAACACCCGCGAAACAGCTGAATCCGACTCAACGTGAAGTCCACCGAAGCGCCAACCTCGTCGCCAGCTTTTACTCCAACTCCGACGCATATCAGCGTTCACCTGGACACCGCGCCTCTGAAGAGATCTGGCACGCACGAACAGGACATCCAAGCAACACGGTTTTGAATAACACGATAAGAGCAGGAGTCCTTGACAAAGATTCTCTACTTCTACCCGATGGCAGAGAACTCCAGAAGGCACGAGGGACTTGCCTTATATGTCCCGAAGCTGACTTACCTCATCGACCGTTTGCTTCACATCACAACCCGAGCGCTCCAGCGTACGCACCACTCGAAAAAGTCTACAGCGACATCCTCTACAATCGCGAGCCAGGACAAGTCAACTACAACTACACCATCACCTTCATCGACGCCGCCACTCGATACGTCTGGCATCGCAACCTACCCAGCCGCGACATGGCGCTCGCAGCATTCGCCGCCTGGCTACCGATAGCAGAGAGAGAGTCTGGAACACAACTGAAAAATTTCCAGTCAGACGGAGGTGGCGAGTACACCTCTCACCGCTTCAAGCAGTTCTTGGCGGAAAGGGGGATCAAGCAACTCCTCTCCCTTCCCTACGCACATCAGCAGCAAGGTGTTGCAGAACGACTGAACAGGACCCTGCAGAACAGCATGCGCAAACTATTACGTGGCATGCGGCTACCCAACCACCAGTGGCCAGCAGCAATGGACCACGCTGTCATGCTACACAACTTGTTGTCGTCGTCGTCACTCCCGAACAACGCGTCACCGCATCTGCTGTGGACAGGGAAGCAGGGCAGCACGAAAATGTTACGAGTTTTCGGGTGCATGGTACAGTACAGACCCCCAGAAGCACGAGCGGGAAGATTTTCGCAACGGGCACAGTGGGGACTACACCTCGGCATCGAGAAAAATTACAACGCATGGAAAATCTTCGACGTCCACACAAAGGAAACAGTAGCAGCACGTGACGTGATCTTCTACGAAAGACTCACCCTTCAGACGTACCTCGTCAACTTGCACGAGAATCGGGACCTCACCAGTGGTTTTCGTGGTGACCGAGCCTTCGCGTCAGCAGCGGACGAAGCAGACTGGGATGAACAGAACGTCGACAACGCCTCAGAAGAAGCCGGACCTCTCCCATACTGCTCCGTCGACGTGCCCATGGATGAGGATAATCCTCGCGACAGTAACAACGCCGAAATCTTCTACCGTTTCGCCGACGATGGTTACGTAACACCTGTGACAGTCAACACCAACGAAGCAGAAAGGGTAGGGCCAAATTTCATGCCCGACCCAGAAACGGGAGACGAAGCAGCTTATCCCGAGGATCCAGAACTCCCTCGATACTCACAGACTGGGCTGCAAATCCTCGGCCTCGTCACCGCAGTCCACGGGAACACACGCAGCTCGCTTCCTAAGGAGCCTGCAACGGTTCAGCAGGCTCTGGGGGGGGAACACAGGGAGAAATGGCGTGAAGCCATGGATAGAGAACTGAAGGCATTAGAGGAACGCAACACTTGGAAGGTTGTTCCCGTAAGCGTGGCACGGAACAAAACCATCCTTACCGGGAAATGGGTCTTCCGCATCAAGACGAAAGCAGACGGCACGATCGAAAAATTCAAAGCACGCTGGGTCGTACGCGGATTCGACCAAGAGCAAGGACGAGACTTCACCGAGACCTTTGCTCCAGTCAGCCGCCACACGTCACTCCGAATTCTCCTCGCCATTGCCGCCATGAAGAAGAAGAAGTTACGGCAGATCGACGTCGCGAATGCCTTCCTCTACGCACCTGTGGATGCAGAAATCTACGTCGAGCTCCCGCACGGTTCCCACGGCGAACCCAACCGAATCTGTCAACTACTTAAATCGCTCTACGGGATCAAGCAGGCACCGCGACTGTGGCAGCAGTACCTGCACGCCCATCTCATCCGCATCGGCTTTAGTCAACTACCTCACGACCAAGGCATGTACCGCCTCACTAAGGGAAGCGACTACGTTCTCCTGATCGTCTACGTGGACGATCTCCTCTACATTGGGTCAACCGACGGCATCGCCACGTGGTTCGAAGGAGAGCTCCAGAAAGACCTCACGCTCACGGTCTCCTCCACCGTTACACAGTACCTCGGGCTCAACATCCGCGAAGAAGAAAACGCCATCTATCTAAGCGCCGAGAAATACGCCGACACCATCGCGAAACGCTTCAGCCTCACACCAAGCGCCATCTCCACGCCCTACCGCTACACATCAGGAACCGAGAAGGAACGAACTACTCTACTCAAGCCCGCCGGCATACGCGACTATCAGAAGAAGCTCGGATGCCTGCTATTCGCCGCCGTCACCTGCCGTCCTGACTTATCCTACTCCGCAAGTCAGCTCGCCACCTATCTCAAGAAGCCTGAAGCTGAACACCTGGCGGAACTTGATCGCGCTCTCCACTACTTCGTCAGCACCGCGACGATCGGGCTAACCTACCACAAGAGCGCAGCTACACCGACTAAGCTAATCGGCTACGTCGACGCCGATCACGCCGGCGACACCGACAACAGGCGCTCACGCACCGGCTATGTCTACCGCCTTGAGCCTATCGGTCCTATCTCCTGGCAGTCGAGCAAGCAGGAGTTAATCGCACTATCTTCAGCAGAAGCAGAATATATTGCACTCTGCTCAGCCACCAAGGAGGGACTTTACCTTCGCGAACTACTGGAAGAAGCGAAGCTAGCCGAGTTACCCAGCTTCACCGTGTTCTGCGACAACCAGTCAGCAATTCGCATCGCCAACAAAAACGGCTTCGCAAACAGGACGAAACACATCGCCCTGCGCTATTTCTTCGTGAAGGACGAGATAGAAAAAGGGAAACTCGATCTGTCATACTGTCCAACATCCGAGATGGCAGCCGATTACTTGACCAAGAAACTCGGCAAGCAGAAGTTCGAATACTGCATGATGCTGACTGGACAAGGCCACGTCACCAGCAGTAACACTCCAGAAGCGAAGGGGAGTGTTGGAAACAATAAGTCCTAAGTGCGCTTCTGTCGTATCAAAATCCAAGGTACCAAGCGAAGCAGTCCCAATCGAAGCATCGAGTCAACCTCGGAGGTTAGGGTAACCGCCTGGAGGTTACGAGAAAGTCAAAGGTCGCTGACCTTTGACTCGACAATTACAGCGCGACAGTTAAGGACACACAACTGACTCGTTACAGAGCAGTTGCCCGAGTCGCGCTACATCGAACCGCAACAGCAATACAGTTATCTATCTATTCCCTGTACTCTTATATAAATCCTTGTATTTGCTTGTTTAATTCAATCAACTTTGCTCTCACACACCAGTGCAAGGTCGGTTCAAATTCTTCACTAAACGCTTCCGCTATTACAACTACTTCACCTAGAGTTATCCTTTGCAAAGATCCTAAGGGGCTATCTCAGCCCAACACATACTAGCCATTAGTCTCCAAGTATCGCATTAGGAAAGTGGGCACTGCTCACTTCTACATGAGGCAGCAAATCCACCACCAGCTCCCTCGTCCTCCTCTCGTTATGCACTCGAACCTGCTTCAAGCTACGCAGCTTCCTCAGCAGCTTCACACCTTCCTTAGAAACCAGAAAACCCGAGGAGTCCAGATATTCCAAGGCAGGAAACCACTGGATATGCCGCAAGCCAGCATCGGTGATCATCAATGGAAGCACGAGCAGCTTCAGCCTGGTCAACGGCCGTAGGTACTGCAACCCATCGTCCCTTACACCACTGCCAAACAGGTACAACTCCTCAAGGCCCGTCAGCTGGCCCACAAGCAGCATTCCCGCACTTGTGACATCCCGACACCAGTAAATCAGCAAAGTTTTGAGCGAAGAAAGACAGATGAGGTGCACCAGACCGGAATCAGACACACTGGAGCGGTTGAGATACAGAAGTTTCAGAGTTTTGCGAGCTGCCCCAATGCCATCCAATGTGCTGTCAGTTACTACAGTGCTGCCCTTGAGCTCCAGACTCTCCAGCTGCGGTAAAGAGTAGAGGCACTTGATGCCTCTAGAGGTGAAGCCTGATGACGCGTCGATGTGCACGTGCTTGAGATGAGTCATTGTGCGCACGTGGGCAAGGTGGGCATCTGAGAGAGGGAAAAGGCCTTTTAAATTCAGTGTTGATCTTGCTGCTCGGATTCTCTGCACAGATTGGCACAGTGGGGAAAGGGAACCTATAAATTGGTGATGGGATTACGGAGAAGCATACAGAGAACAGCTCCATCCATTTGTTAAATGAAGTGATTAGCGACCGTCATTTGCTCACTTACGCATACACACATGAACACACAAAAGCATATGCACATGCACACACAAAGTCATGGGCGCACGGACATAGACATACACATATGAACACATTAATGCACGTATTAACACCTGATTCACATACTTGCCAAAACGCCTTGTTGGCCCCTTCGCTCTTCCTCGGCTGCTGCGCTGCATGAAAATTCCCGTGAACATGATCCACCATTCGCTGCCGCTTCCCCGCTGCCACACCGTCCCACTCCACTTCTCTCCTTTGTTTGTTCCTCTCTTCGCTAATAACTACTTTCTCCTCATAAGGCTCCTCCTTCACACGTGGGTTCTCCTCGCCTGCCTCTTCCTTCACATCTACTTTCTCTTCATAAGCCTCCTCCTTCATACTCGGATTCTCCTTGCCTGCCTCTTCCTTCACATCTGCTTTCTCCTCGTTCTCCCTTGATAAACTATCTCTTTTCTCTGTCAACTCTCCTTTCACCACTTCTAACTCCACTTTCGCCGCCTCCAGCTCGCCTTTCACTGCTTCCAATTCCCCTTTCACAGCTTTCAACTCCCTTTTCACCCTAGCCAGCTCTCCCTCCCTCTCCTCCATTCGCCACCGCAGCTCTCTCAATGCTGCTGCGCTTTGCCTTTCATTCTCCACCATTTGCCTCCTTGCCTCCTCTAACTGCCGTGCAAGCTCGTGGATTACTTCCTCCATTGAATCATATTCCGCCCCTGTTTTCGCACACTGTCCTGATAACGTGCCACAACCCCACTACTCCGCTGCGATTCGTGAACAGCCAATGGGGCTCAATAGATCAACAGGGACCTGAGAAGAAAAAGACAGCACATAAGGCACAGCACAGTGGAAAAGGCATGGTAAGGGTCAGTAAGGGAAGGTAAGAAAAGGTAGAGAGTAGGACAAGGTAAGGGACGTTGCGCGAAAGTATGAAAGGGTTCAAACTTCACAAAGAGATGCCTTCTGACCAGCAAGGGGCACCTATGACGCCACAGGTTTTAGAGGCATTCCAGTCGAATGAAGTGATTAGACAACTCCGTGCTAGGAGATCCGAGGTTAGTAGCTTAGCAGCTTGTCTCTCAAAATCATCATCAATGCCTTGAGGTTTGAGAAGCGATTCTCACCCAAAACACCTGCAGCGAAGCGATTAGACCTGGCTTAACATATTCCTTGATCTATGCCTTAACACTTAGTCTTAGAACCTGCCACCTAGCCTTAGAATCTGACGGTGCACTGAAGTTTGGTTTTTCACTTCTAGCTGACGATGACGCTAAGGTCAAGAGCGGAAAATCGACAGGAGCGGAGGGAGATGAACAGGAGGGACATCGCAAGGCATGGAGGCGCATTAACTGCGCGCGCAGGGCAGCGGCGTGTGGGAAAGAGGCGCACGGGGTGGCGTATGGAGAAGACGCATGCGGGGAAGAGGCGCGCGGGGGAAAGGCGCGCGAGGCACATAGGGGTGGAGAAGAGGCACGCGCGGAAGAAATTCGCGAGCTAGAGGCACGCATGCAGAGGTGCGTGGGCGAAGGAAGAACGAACGAAGCCCGAGGTGAGGGGGGTGGCGGGGATGCGGAACACAGCGACGAGGGAAGCCCGCGGAGACGATGGGGGCTCACGTGAAGCTTTCGGTTCGTTCACGCGTTGAGATCGATGCTCGATATGATATCTCTTTCGCAGATGAGCGTGACCTGCGGGAGCGTAGAAAGTGTCGAGAATGTCCTGGCAATCCCAGGGAAAACATGAGTGCGGGGGTTTGAACTCAGTAATGTATAGCGCTGTAAGAACCACTCATGTTGACTTCATGTAGTCTCAGCTTTGTTATTTGTTTTTGTCTAAAACAATCCAGTCATACCCTTCCAACAACCCTCGTGCAAATGTGTACCAATCCTTGATTGGCCAAGACCAGGTATTTATATAGAGAACAGGTAGGGTACAATGGATTCGTTCCCAACAGAATCATATGCCACTATATGCAACGCCGAAGTCTGCTTGCGGATGTGGCTGTTCCGGGTCACAGTAATGAGGTGGCGTATAAAGTGGCATCGGGTGTAGAGAATGCATAGCGGCGGTTCACGAAAATCCCGAGACTGGCAGAACAACGGAGTTGCTAGACGACAGCAAGAGCCACTCAGCCACCATCTCTCGGTAGCCCTGCTCTGCCTCCTCCCTCTCCTGCTCCTTGCCCTTGTTGCCGAACGCCTGTGAGTGGCGAGGCACGAAATTTATCTCGAGTATCTGCAGAAGTCATTGGGAGTGCACGAGTGGGTTGTGGGGAGTGGAGTGGATAGGTGGGTAATGCGAAGCGAACGGGTAAGTTTGGAGAGTTCCTGGGTGGGTTATGGGTCATGAGGTGTTGAAACAAGGAGGTAGATGGACGGATGAGCACGGAGCTGTCGTTCAAGCTGCAGCCAGCCATGGATAAAGGTTGAGTGGATGGGTCAGTATAGATGCTCCTAGTCGGTGGTGGGAGTTGTTTTATTTTTTATCTTGAAGAGATTTCTTTCTTAGAATTCTCAGGAACCGCCTAGAACAAGGATCGGCGAATAGATGGGTACTCACTTGCAAACTCCCAGTAATCATTTGCGAAGAGAGCAGGCACTGACCGTGCCAGGGAAGTGGGAGCGGACGGCTATCTTCTAGTCAATGGAGTTGGTAATAAGCATCAGCAGCAGCACCATTTGCGATCAAGCTTCCATCACAGGCACTCACCTTGCCGGGGAAGTGCGATCGGATGGCCGTCTTTAAGTCGATTGAGTTGGTGATGAGCATCCAGCGCACTGTGAGAGGCGGGGGATACCACATGTCCTCCACTGCCTGGCGGCGAACAAGGCGGGTTGGGAAGGGGGGTGGAGGGGTGGGGGTGGGAAAGGGGGGAGTGGTTTGAGATGATGGGGATGATGGTGAGACGATGAGCATCCATCGCACGGTGAGAGGCGGCGGATACCACATGTCCTCACTGCCTGGCAGACAGAAATGAGAGGAGGGGGGGAAGGGAGGGAGGGGGGAGTGGTGGTGTTGATTGGGGGTGAGCCTATGTGATGAGCATCCAGCGCACCATGAGAGACATGTGGTACCCCCCGCCTGTGTGTGTGTGTTGGGGGGGGGAGAGTTGTCGAGACGATGTGATGAGCATCCATTGCCCCCACCGCTTCCTGCCTTGCCCTCACCGCTCCCTGCCTTGCCCTCACCGCTTCCTGCCTTGCCCTCACCGCTCCCTGCCTTGCCCTCACCGCTTCCTGCCTTGCCCTCACCGCTTCCTGCCTTGCCCTCACCGCTCCCTGCCTTGCCCTCACCGCTCCCTGCCTTGCCCTCACCGCTCCCTGCCTTGGTCTCGCACAATCCTGCATTCGCTTGCCTCTCCTCTCTTGGCCGGCTCACCTCGGCACAGGCGAGGATGGGAGCATCTCTGGCGTCACATGCAACCCCCCCACCACCACCGCCACTCACCCATGGCACACTTGACTTCAGAAGGCCCACTCACCTCGGCACAGGCGAGGATGGGAGCAGCGTGCGCACACTGCAGGTGACGCACACTGCAGGTGACGCACACTGCAGGTGGGTATTCAGGCGATACGCTGCATGAGAAGGCTCACTCACCTTGGCGCAGGCGAGAATGGGAGCAGCCGCCTCCAAAGCAGCGGCCATGGAAGCGGGAGTGATGCTCTTGGCGGTGGCGTGCGGGTCGCGCACCACACTGTCGCTCTGGCGCACGTGCACCCCCACCACCACCGTCCGCACCTCCCGCATCTCCTGCAGCAGCCGCGCTGTCAGCGGCCATACCTCCTTCCTGGGCCTACAGTGAAAGGTGAGGGTTGAGGGGAAAAGGAAGGAGGGACAGAGGGATGTGAGAGGGGAGGGGAGAGGAGATGTCATCTCTCAGCTGCACATGCACCCTCACCTCACCTCACCAGCACCGTGCGCATCTCCACCATCATCAGCAGCCATAACTCTTTCCTCATGGGGACATCGCCTCTGAACCTCCTTGCAGCGCAGGGACTACCAGCCAAGGAATCTGAGAATAGTCAATTCATCCCAATGCAATGCAGGGCGTACCTAACAAGGAATCGCAGAATGCAGCCAAAGGCGTACGGTGGGCGCAACCCCATCGCCCTGAACGCATCGGCCCACTCGCCCGTCCCCTTCGTAAGCATCTCCGTTACCATCCCTCGGTTCCACAGCACCTTTACATGCCGAAACGCCTACCTCTCCAGCCCCTGCAAACCCAGCCGATTCCCATTCAAATCCAGAAACGGAATCACCCCCGGCGAAAACGACTCATTCAGATTCCTCGTGCGACGAGAAGGCTCCATGGGAACATCAGGGGACGGGCGCCAGTTGATGAATGCGGGCTCAAACGCGTACTGGATGCAGTTGTGGCGAATCACAAACGCCCGGCGGTCCAAGAGCGCAGCGACGAAGGAGGAGACGAGCCCGACTAGGAAGTCCCCGAAGCCGCCGCAGTGCCCGGCTTGGTAGAACGTGAGGAAGCGAATGGGGGAAGCTGGGAGGGTCTGGTTTGACAAGCTTGGTTCAGAGACTTCTGCTGATGTAGCAGCTGCTGCTGCTGCTGATGTCACTGTTGCTGCTGCGGCTGGTGGTGGCAGTGGTGGGGAATTTGCGAGCGAGAGCAATTGGCGGGAGGAGTGGGAGGCGGGGGAGGAAGCAGGGGGAGGGGGAGTGGGAGAGGGAGGAGGGGTGTAGGCGGCGGCACTGGCGGAGCGAATGGCGGAGTGCAGGCGGATGTAGTCGTCCCGCCATGCCGTGCCACAGAGCGTGTCCGAATACTCAAAGTCCACGTGGGCGGGGGACGAAGCTGTCCTTGCTATAGTCAGACGCGACTGGAGCACCTGCGAGGACAGAGGGGGGGGGGGGGGGAGGGGGGGGGCGGTTTGGGTGAGGGAACTGAGGGCTGGATTGGGGGAGGAACTTGACTGGAGAGAGCCATGTGTGAGAAGAAAGAGAGGCATGGAGGGCTGGATGGGGAGGATTGGGGGGATGGAAGTGAGCAGGGAGCAATGGGGATCCGCACGAAAGCAAGGACGAAGCAGACGACAGCGTGGTAGGGGCTCAATGTGGGATCAGTGGCGAGGAGGAAGCAGAGGATAGCGCAGCCGGTCATGATAACAAAAAAGGCGGGAAGGACTTTAGGGCCGTAGAGCATCTTACAGTGGAAAGGGCCAGCATTAACGTTGCTGTCGCCAGTTCTACCAGCGATAGGATGCGACAACTCCGCGACAACATGGCAGGTAGTTAAGTAGTAAAAAAACTTTGCGCGCTGCGAAACTAATCGCCGCCAGGTGAGAAGCCGATCGCAATCACCTCCCGGTGCTGATGGTGCTACTAGAAACCAGTACTGCTAGTTCACTGTGCCAATTCGACTTGAGAGAGTGTAAGCCGCAAAGCGGCAAGTGAAAAGAGATGGCAAAACCAGACTGCGAGCAGAACTGGTGCAACGCCTCGCGTGCAAGGGAAAGCGCTTGACAACCCGGTTCGAAACCGGAGCACAGCTGCGAGCAGCCTGAGGACGAAGCGAGCTGCGAGAACACCTGCCACTGACGGACTCCGTGAAAGGAGAAAGAGGCCTCATTGCGACAAACTCCCGTGCAAGGGGTATTCGTCGAAGAGCTCGCGGGAAGAGGATCTCACGCATCTGGCGAGGCGATGGATGGGGTGGGTAGGAGCGAAAAAAAAGTTGGCGCGCGGTGGTACAGTACAGGACGAAATGGATCGCTGTGACGATCATGGCGTGGAGCGGGTGACGCTCGCTCCGCCGCCAGGCGTGGAAATTTGGTCAACCCTGGATGGGAGATGCGAGATGCCAATGCGACGCGATGACATCGAGACAACACGATGGAAGTGGTAAACTGGATGGCAGGGCTCGGCGTGGGGAACCCTTGCTGGGTTCGCCGTCCGTTTCGCTGGTTCGGCGCCGAAAGGGTGCACGCGCGTGGGGGAAGCCGACGGGGGTCGCATCGCTAGGCGACGTTGGAGGTACACACGGTGCAACGAACGCCGACGCTTGGAGGCCCATTCCGTTGGCGTTTATCTCAGCGGAATGGGGGTGCCATGGACACTGATAGTGTCGAGGGGCAAGCGAAGTTTGTTCACTTTGCCACACAGGGCCACAAGGGTGATGCTTGTCAACGCACCTGCCGAGGTCTGAAGGAAGCAGAAGCCCCTATTCTGGGGTTTCTGTCAGGGTACACTCGATGCACAACTTATGGTGAAAGGCCTTGAGACAATGTTTTCCTTTCACTTGTCCAGCAGCTTAGCACAGACTGTAACGAGTACAGACTTGAAATATCTGCGAAAGTGTTTCGCATGGAAGCCTCGGTCATCTTTCTGCGACGGTTATGTGTATTGAACGCCTGCCGTGCCGTGCAGTGCAGAGCCGACCCAAAGTTGAGGTTGGCGGAGCGAGACCAATCAGAGCACATTGCCACGCCACACTCGAACAAAAATATCGCCTTTCTACTTCCGCCGAGCAACTGACAGGCGTCACAGAAACGAAAGTGACCTCGCGCGAAGGCTCTCTGCACCCTTCGTTGACCTTCGTTCGTTGCTTCCGACGACACCGACAGCCTCGACGACGACTACTAGGCGACAGGTGTGGGCTCAAACGAGACAGCAGCACGAATCGCTGATTGGCAGTAAGGGTAACCTGCGGTTCGCCCAACCACGACGACTGACTTGGCATTGTCGAACAGAGAAAATGGAAGGCGCGAGCGTGAGCCAGAAGCAACCAGAAGGATCGCGACTTGGAGAGTCTTGGAGCGGCTCGTTCTGGAAAGGCCGAGAGAAATCTCACCGTCACGCTCACGCATAAGTATGCAGCAGCCATGCCAGGTACTCAACACAGAATCCGGAAACTCAAGTCCTTCTGCATCTGGTTGTTTATTAGCACTCGCTGCTCGAACTCCCGGTACGAACTTGTCTGCGGCATTTACTTAACTCGTTGATATTTTCAAGTATTGGTCGCCGTAGTCGCTACTAGCACCCACTCTTCCTTCAAGCTTCTAACTGCTATATCAGATTCGATCAGCCATAATGGCCCACTTCTCTCTGCAAGCACCAACAGATCGCAGCAGCGTGCGAGACACTCGCAAGTCGCATACCGTAAGGTCGCAGAGGAAACAGCAACATCAGCCCGACGCCTCGTCGCAGCCTGAATCGCAGCTGCGATGGGTCGACCAAGCACAGGATCGCTGCTCGTCGCCAACGTCGCCATTGTCGCCGTCGTCGCATGGTCAAGTCCTTCCGTTCCAAACAGCCCCTCTCGAATCATTCTTTTCGTTAGACTCTCATGTCTTAGGAACCGGCCAGTTCGGGACCGTGCGACGCTGCACCGAGCGGCTTACAGGCGCGCGCTTCGCGTGCAAGACGATCTCCAAGGACAGGCTTAGAAGCGAGGCGGAGCAGGAGGAGGTGCGGCGAGAAGTTGCGCTGATGCAGCGGGTTGGCGGAAGCGGAGCTGGGGAGACGCAGGGGGTGGCGCATCCCGGGGTGGTGCAATTGCGCGGAGTTTTCGAGGACGAGCATTCAGTGCATTTAGTCATGGATCTGTGCGAAGGCGGCGAACTGTTCGACGAAGTCGTGCGACGCGGGCGACTGAGTGAACGCGACGCTGCGAACGTGTTCGCACAGGTCGCATCGGCCGTCGCACACTGCCACGCGCGAGGCGTCCTCCACCGCGATCTCAAGCCGGAAAACATCCTGCTCACGCGCGACCCCTCCGCACCGTTCTCCACCGCACCGCTAACCACAAAACTCGCGGATTTCGGCCTTGCGGTTCCCCTGCAATCAGGCAATCGCGCAATGGGCGTCGCGGGATCGCCGTTCTACATGGCTCCTGAGGTCCTCCTAGGCGAATACGCGTTAGAAGCCGACGTGTGGTCTCTGGGCGTGATTCTTTACATCTTGCTCTGCGGGGCGCCGCCTTTCTGGGGCCCGACGGATAAGGACGTGTTTGTGGAGGTGCTGAAAGGCGTGGTGGATTTAAGTGGCGAGGAGTGGGCGGGAGTGTCGGAGGAGGCAAAGCGGCTTGTGCTGTGCCTGCTGCAGAGGAACCCCCAGCAGCGTCCCACTGCCGCGCAAATCCTCTTTCATCCTTGGATCCTCCGGCATTGCCACACCAGCGTGGCAGGTTTGAGGACAGGCTCGGAAGCAGGTCTGGGTTTCAGTGTAGGCTCGGATCTGAGGGCAGGCGTGGAGGCAGCTTCTGCCATGGTGGTGTGAGATTAGCTGTGGCATAAGTTATAGTTGTACGCTTCAGGTGTGCAATTGTCGCTGATGTTTTTTTACTGATGCTTTGCTAGTCACCCTAGCGCTGGCTGCAATGCTAATGTATAGCGTTGATGGTACCTTACCGTAGTTTACCTTAGTAGGTTTGACCTGAAGCACCTTCTTTGATCAACAAGCACATGCATGTGTCATCCACACGCAAATCCCCTTACCGGTACACATGAACAGCTGTAGACACCTGGCACACAATTTTCCATCTCAAAACCAGAATGCACAGCTCTGCTTTCTCTAACCATACACCCAGATGGTTCAGGCAACAACGCAGGGGACAATACCGTATGTACTAACAACGTGATACTTTTTGCTATGCTATGCAGGGTCCGCGTACACGGCATCATAGCTCTGTTCTGTGGTCCTTGCTAGTAACCCCGCCTGCACTAGGCAGGGTGAATACTTATTCTAGTTAACTAGTGGTAACTGTGCAACCGCAGGGAGTCCCAATTGTGCAAGGCTGTGCAATGGCTGCCTGCCACGAGGCCGCAGCCTGCAGCCCCTTGTACCGACGACCTGGCCGGAGGAGCAGCTCCCTCCCTTGTGATCATGCCATCGCTACACAGGATTCATATAGCCCAGTGCAGCCACTTGTAGACTCGGCTTTAAAGAGCAGCTCTGCTCTCTCGACCAATGCCATGCCATCATCACTATGTATGCCAATACGCGTGGTGTGCACTTTGCGCAGCACACGCAGCACTTGTGAGCGGCTCTGCCTTGTGTAACTCTCCAACCAGCACCATTGCTGCAGGATGCAAGGGCCAGCCAACTTGTGCAGCACCACAGATGCAAAAGACCAGGCCAGCGCAGCCACCTGTACATCGGAGTAGCTCCCTCCGGATAGCGTGCTGTTCTCCGTGGCTGATGTGCGCACCACACCCGCCTGACCCGCGTCAAACCCTGCAGCCAGCAGTACTGATGCAGCGCTATGCTAAGACCCCTAAATTCAATGCTAAGCACTCCGATGTAAAATGCACCATCCCTGCAAGCAGCACATCCGTACGCGGGGTCCACATTCCGCAGCACCACAGAAGTCATCGAGCTGCCCAGCGCCGCCACCTGTATCAAAGCTGGCACGTCTGTGTAACTTTGAGTCGCCACCAGCGTGTTATTTTCCGTCGCTGACGTGCGATACGTCTCCAACACACACTCCTGCCCCGCGTCAAACGGCACGAAATCCTCGAATGAAAATGTCGCTGTGTGTGTTGTGTCGCGCTGGTTGACGATGAAAATCGAAACGAAGTGCTGGTCGGGGTGGAAGAAGGCGGCAATGCAGTGCTGGCACCCGTCCGATGTGTGGATTCGCAAAGGCAGGCTTCCTCTCGGCGCCCCACGCACAAACTGCTGCAGCATGTAGAGCTTCTTGGAGATCACCAGATCCAACAGCTTGACTTCTGTGTCGTTCAGCCGGTAGATCCTGACCGCCAATAGCCCCCATTTCAGAAACGCGTCTGGGTTGTTCCCTCCCACCCCACTCACAGCCTGCCAGAAAATCCAGGCCGAAGCCCCCATGATGTTGACAGTCTCCACTATCTGCCGCGCCGTGAACAGCATCACACCGAAATCATTCCCGCTCAACCACATCGGCCCCACCTCCGACACCCACACCTCCTTCCCTAGTCCGGTCGCCATGCGGTGCATGCTCACCATCACACCTTCCATGTACTGCTGAGTGTCTGCCGTGCTGGGCGGCGGGTTTATGTACCCATGCACATTCAGCCGAAACAGGCCGGCCTTCAACGCAGCAGGGAACTTGAACGTGTACTGGAGAGTCGCGCCGACGAAACTGTCAAACCCCGTCACTTTTGTCGGCAGCTTGAATCTCGTTAAGGTGGCTGTGAGGACCCGGATAAGAGTGGTCAGCTTCTCAGGGCCGTAGTTGCACCCCTCGTTCTTGTGGCCCTGCGTCCACCACCCCTCCAACGCCTCATTCGCCGGGGTCATGGTCG